TCATGATGATGTTTTATTTACCGTTGCCTACCGGACCTTGAACACATCGTAATGTTACCTTCTCTTTCAGTCAGCTAACAAGTTTTCATCCTGCAGACTTTTACCAGTACAATTCTACAACTCTACAATTCACTTAGCAGACGCTTTTATCCAAAGCGACGTACATCAGAGAGAAAGAACAACACAAGCAAGGATCTAGAAAAAAGGGAACAATGTGAGTAAGAGCAAACGATCAGCTTTGAGTCTGATTGGACACACAGGTGCTGACAGGAAGTGACCAGAGGCAAAGCACAACATTGAGGGCAGTTCTTGAGAGCTCTAATCAGTATAGAAACCATCTTATAAGTCATCATTATCAAACAAAAACCATCGTCATTACCATCATCATCATCAATAATATGGAGACCATCATCATTAAGTTAGTAAGTATTCATGAAAGAGCTGGGTCTTTAGCTTTTTCTTAAAGGTCCAGAGGGACTCTGCAGATCACATGGAGTTTGGAAGTTCATTCCACCACCGGGGGGAACCAGTGGATCGCTATTTGTAAGTAACGCGACTTGCTACAGCGTTTGGGTGCGTGATGGGCGTCACCGGCAGCTGAATCAGCTGCCGGTGACGCCCATCCCTCAACACCACTGATTCAAAGTGATGTAGAAAACAGCTTTGAAACAGAAGATGGTCTCCTCGATAATTCAATCATCTACAAAAGAATCCTACAAAGAGTCTCAGTTCATGTTGTTTCATGTTGCTGCTCTCATCTCCTTGGTTTGATTAGTTTGCATGCTGATGTTCTTGGGTTGGGGGGGTCGTTATGTGTCTGTATTGATCTTTCAGGCCACAGATGTGTATTTATATATATCCCGAATTTCCCCTCTGGGGATCAATAAAGTACTATCCTATCCTTAAATCTATGTGTTAATAGTATTTGCATTGGCTTCTCCATGGTAGATTACCTCCACGGAAACAATGCATGGCTCGGTATGCTTAAAGCAAAGTAGATTGCATGATGGGTTGTCTGGCTCTGTCTCATCTCAGCAGGGTTTAAAACAGCTTTCAAAATGGCCACACTTACAGGCAGGGTGAGAGGCCTGCTGTCACACAGCCTCCTTTAAGGGCTCCATCAAACTGCCTCCCTGATTTCTATTCAAAGACTCCACAGCTTCTATACGTCTTTCTGGTCTCGACTCATTGAATTTTACAAATGAGGATAATGGCGGACGCTTTCAGCTTCTCTTCAGAAGTGCTCTTGGTGAAGAGACAGACGAGTTCAAACCTTCACCTGAACCCACTTGTTTTCTTTTTTTTTTTTCCAGGAACATGACGTCATCCAGAAACATTTGCTCTGATAACTTAGTTTTAAGTTGGTTTTATGAGATTGGATCATTGGATATTTTGGCTTTTTATGCGCCCATTGGAGAGACAGGACAGTGGACATAAGTATGAAATCAAGCAGAGAGAGATGGTGGGGAATGACATGCTGGAAAGGAGCCACAAGTCATCTGCCTCGAGGACCACAGCCTCTGTACATGGGGTGTGCAAAACTAACCACTAGGCCACCCTCGCCCCAGGATATGTTTTTTTAGACGACCAAATGAGAACATGGATTGGCTCATAAGGTATGGTGGGAGAAGATATCAACACAGCTTTGCACCATTGTCTCAAGTGAAATGATGCAAAGTAACACAGACGTAAACTTAGCCATCGCTTTGAAAAGTCAATGTTACAAAAAACCCAGAAATTCCTCAAATTTAAACATTACAACAAAAACCCATGATGAACGTGTCAAATCAGAAAGTGGTCTGTGTGATTCAGCCGATGTAAAAAGTGAACTCATTTATTTTTATTCTGAAAAAATTATGATCATTTGAGAAAGTTGGTGTTGTGTGAAACATTTTGGAATGAACCCTGAAATATTCCGCTGTCCCGATGAGCTGGAGCTGGAGAGGCTATTTCATTTTGATGTGTTTAATTAGCTAAATTTCCACAAAGGCCTGGAAAAGACAGCCAGAGATAGGCTTTTAATTAGTATTTATCCTCATCTGCCAGTGCTATGTGGTGGGCTTCTGCCAGGGATTCGTGTGTTCTGCTCTTTTCCATGTTTTGTTGTATGCCAAAAATGTTTTTATTTACTTTCTTCTTAAGTTGTGATTCATTTGGTTTTAACTGTTCTGCAGTCTCTGGATTTTTCTAACTGTGGTATCCAGGCAATCATAAAAAAACTCAAGTCAAATCTGATGCCTTCATTTTTCTGTGTCTTCCAAAACGAAGCTATGGCATTCTTCAGAGTAGATCGGGTGAGGTAAAATCACTCTTAATGTCCCTCACACCACGAGATAATGTGGGAAGGTAATCTTTGGAAAATTGGGCTGGTTATACGCACATCATGGAGGTGCAGGGCAATGAGAAAAGTATGAGCCAGTATGTCCTCCTTCTAACTTTAGATTCTGCTCCTGAATGCTCTGGATTTGTTCGGACCAGAGAAGGTAGGCGGTTTTAATCCCCTCCCCCCACACGGCCGTTTTGGACGCCCCTCGATTTGCCAGATATGAGAGCAGTTATCAGGTCAACAGGTGTTGCAGTGATGGAAGCGGACAAGAGAAGTGGTTCAGATAGAAGTGATTGTACCCGACCTAAAAAGCCTCTGCATGTTTCTAATAAGCTCCACGAGCAGAAACGTGCTCAAACTAGAATCAATATTGGAGATGCTTTTGAAAAATGGAGAGAGGTTAGAACACAGAAAGGTTTACAGACCCATGCAGAGCTGGATAAACACTGAAGCTTCAGAGTCCACCACATGGTGACCTGTGTGAGCATTGACTCTAGAGAGGGGGGGGGGACAGCTCTCTATAATTATTGAATTTGGACTGCAGTACCCATTTTAAACACTAGGTGCCAAAGTTGCTCATTTACCTATATTAATACAAAAAACCCAACATCTTATGAGACCTCAACATCAAAGACAAATATAGGCACCATGTAGCATTTAAAGATAAAGTGAATAGAAGCAGTCTAGGAGAAATCACACCTGGTTGGTCCAATTAATTTTTTTGTCGGAAGGGGGGAATCGGGCTTGGTTTTTTTTTTTTAGTGTGTACCCTGCATTGCATGCTGATAGGGTATTCTTTCCAGTGCGCTAGGAGCGAGCTAATATCGCCAATATTTCTGGTAGACGTTGGGGCGAATGTCCTCCCGATGAAAAGTCGTCACTTTGTTGTTTTAGTCATCACTGAACTCAAGACACAGCCTTGAATAAACTTCCCAAACAAACACTCTGAAGTGTCACCACCATGACAGCAGCCGCACTTCACTTTGAACCGTCACTGGTTGTCATTGGTCTGTCTCTGGTGTTTTTCATTCACGCTGACAGCTTTTAGAAGAACTTGTCTTTTTCTATCGTTCAAATAAATAATAACCCAACAACACACTCCAGTGTGTGTCCTCTGACTCCAGCAGCCACAGTCTGTATTACTTTGTCACCGATGTCATTCTAATGTCAGTGGTGCCATCACTCATTCGGAGGGATGATCTCCTATCATCTCGGGCTGTGTTGTTGTTGTTGAATAAAAACTACAACAAAAGGTAAAAGTCTCCGAGGATGGAGGGATAATCCTTCTGTAACACCAGCCGCAGTTTATCAGTCACTGATGTCTTTCTTTGATCGTTTTAGCTGTCTCTATTATCGTAAATCGTTTTCCTCCGCAGAATAATTCCAAACAATCGGATATTAAATGTGGTAATCCATTTGTTCGTGCCACGAGCTGTAGTGTTTCATTAATGTCACTGGTCCGTCGCTGCTGCCATCACTCAGGGGGCTGTTTGTCTGCCAGTCGTATTTTGTGCAAAGACATAAATTAATATTGTCTGAAGTAAACAGATGGAGAGGGAGTGACTGTGCGGCGTTTATTGTGTCACTCGCATCTTCCCAGAGGAAACTGAAAAATGGAGACTAAGTGGTGGTCTAGAGAGGGGATGTCAGGAACATAATATGGGCAGGACTCTGCTGTCAGTTTGTCACTCTTTCCTTTTTAAAGGACGGGACAGAAGCCACGACTTGTTACAGTGACGGATGGATTATGGATTCTTTTCAGTTTCGCTGGACCCTAGAGTAAAAACCAAACCCAACAGTTAGAATAGAAACATGAAACACCTCTAAATGGGATCATTTATTACATCCAAAGCCCTGTAGCATCCTCTTCCATTCACTCCACGGTGTAAATAAGTGACAGGTGTCATGGCATGACGCTTTTGACCAATGACTCAACTGAAGCGACAGACTTAAAGGTCACATACTCTCCTCCTCTTCAACCAGTTTAAATAAGTGTCAGAGCTCCTCAAAACATGACTCCTGTATTTGATCATGTCTATAAACCCCTCTATTTCAGCCCTGCTCAGAACAGGCTGTTTCTGTGTCTGTACCTTTAAATATGTAAATGAGCTGTGTCTGACCACGCCCCCCTCTCTGGAAGGACTTGTGTGTACTCAGACTCAGAGGGCAGAACAAACACCTAGCTATGGGAGTGTCACCCACCTGCGGGAGGGGCTACTGCCCTTTGTGATGTCATGAAGGGACAATCTCCAAACACCTTGTTTAGCACACATTTTCTGAAAAGTGGAGCAGGCAGAAGACGGAGAGGATGGACTTTTCTCATCATTGGGGGGTTTGTAGACGGACTAGAGACTAGAGTTAGAGGAACATGGTGAAGTGGATTCTGCATAATATGTGACCTTTAGGACACAATCTATTCCCTGAAACAGTAAAATAAAGGACAGTCCACAGGACATTTGTTTTTTTCTAACATGTATCGGGACATCTTTAATATTTATAGAAGCATAAATATTATCAGTTTTAGAATGCAGTATATGTTTTTGTCCTCAATGGTCCCTCCCGTGCTCTAAATGAAGACAAAGTTTGTGTAAGCTGTTTTCCTCACGTGTCCTGAGTTCAGAGTGAATGTTATTGCCAGTGTGTGTTCCAGAGGTGACTCGCAGCTGTTACTCACTCAGGCAGATATTGTCGTGGAAAAACAGGAGGAAGTCGTTGCACTGCTCCCTGTGGTTGCCGCTCGCTGCACATGAGCACCATGGTCCCACGTTGGATGTGGAGTTGTCCAGGTAGTTGGGGGTTATCGTGCTTCCTGCAGAGGGGGAGGAGGAACACCGCTTTTTTTTTAGTTTACAGGCGCACTGCAGAAAAACAAACTTCTCACATAACATGATTGAAAACAAAATCACAAAAATGAGAAGTGGCCTCTCATGATGCTAGACTATTAATCTTCTGAGCTGTCTTCTGTTATTCCGGCTAATCCATTTGACAAACCCGGGGTCGTTTTTTTTTACCACATCCTTTTGTAAACAGCTCATTAAAAAAAAAAAACAGTTTTAAAAGAAAGCAGAAGACAAAAGGAGTGAGACGTTTTCTGTCCTCATAGATAAAAACGTTTGAGCAGAAAAATTGGCTGATTTAATCTCGTTATGTTTAGCCTGATTATGACCCTTACCGTAATTATGCTAATCAAATAAAAGGTGTTTACATGGGCACTTTCCTATCCTCACAGCGTTACTCTAATCAGGTTTACAGGGAGCCATCACTGTGCGTTTTTAATTCATTTTCACTGAGAGATGAATTTAATAAGAGTGGATGAAAGACGAGCGGATAGAGAGACTCGGGCTGGCAGGTTGGTTAAACAGCCGGGGGGATCAAAGTGGTTCAATCCTCACTTCTGACAGGGCTGGACTTTTAAAAAAAAAAGACTGTACTGTATGTTTATCTCATATTTCAAAGTAATGGGTAGAAGAAACCAGCAAACAGTCGCTAAAAATACTCTGATCGTGCTTGACAGGCAATTATTTTGAAAAGTGAGCTCCTGTGTGAATGTATTTATTATATTTCTGCATGGAATGAAAAGAGACGCTGTGACGCTCACGTACACAGCATCCCTCTCTTGATCAGTCTGTGCGGCTCATTTGAAGCTACAGCAGATCAAAACCACACGCACAGCAGGATGTTGTTTTTTCTGAGGTAGTGTAACATGCAGAGCCACTTGTGCTGGCAGTTTGGTGAAGTGCTGCAGCCTGCGGGGGCAGAGTTCACACCCCGTAACAGAGGTCTCTCAGGTGTATTCTTTTTTTATTCCCTTTTTCCGCCTTTGGAGATTTTCAGCGAGAAATGATTGGGAAGTCACTTTGTGGGAAGGGTAATAAAGCCTTGTAGCTTGTATTCTTTTTTGGTGGGAAATAGAATTGCTGCACTCCAAGGCACTGGGCAAAAAAAAAAAAAAGTTCTGATTCACCTCCATTGATTTTTTTTCAGGTCCCAGACTTCCAAACAACAACAACCTCAGCGTCTCACTTCTACTTCAGTTGTCTAGAAAAGGACAATCACTGCTGCACAGCTCTCTGTCCCCGTCTTCCTTAATCTGTCGCCTTCAGTTCCTCACAAACTAAAACCCCCCGCTCTTTCTTCTTCGTTTTGCTGCAGGTCTTGCGGTATTGTTGTCCCATAATGAAACATTTAAACCGAGTGCTTTTAAAAAAAACAACCTTTTTGGTGCTTTTATGTGATCTTTTGTGAAGTTTTGATCTGAAGTACAAGAGGCTGCGCTTGCACGCCTCCCACTCGCTCGCTCCCACTCATCACGGCGTCAAGGATAATTCTCTCAAAAACTGCGGTCAATAGTTGTAATTGCACTGCTTATAATGCCAAACGACTCGGCCGACTCGTGCTGCAGCCACATTAATCAGCGCGCCATCGATTGTTGAACCGCGCTTCTCATCACAAATCCTTGATTCATTCTTTTGAGTCCCGTTCAGAGCACTTGTCTGCTCTCCGCCTTCCTCCCCCCTGAAACCTATTTGTTCCCCATCCATCACAGGAGGTGGGTGAGCTGGAGCTGGCAGAGAAAGATAGAGGTGTTTAAAGCCCCCCCCCCCTTTTTGTACCATTAGGGTCCATTAACTGGCCTGGAACCTGTATAGGTTTTAAATGTCTATGCGGGTCGCTGTAAGGTCCAGTTCTCTTTAGATTTAATACACGTCGATCTGTACACCCACATGATCAGTGCTGATCACCTAAGAAAATAGTTAAGCGTAATAAGATCGCGCAGCTTTTGTACCTGCTGAACCTGTGCAGGTGAGACAGAAAGACATCGTCTAATTCACAAAGCACACACAAAGGGTTAAATGCTACTTTAACTTGTGTTGTTTATGCGTACTATCCGACTTTTAGAGCAGATTTTAGACCAAAACAGTGCTTCCCTTCAGACACACCCTTCATCCCTCAGCTCCCCTCCTTTCTCTGAGGGTTCTGTGAGGAAGAGACAGCAGCAGACAAGTCCTGATAAACACCTGAAAACAAGATTCTGTGATCAATGTCAAATGAATATGATAGCAAATCAATTGTTCTCTGTTTGTCCCTTTACAGCATAGAGTCTTTTTTCAGTGGTTGGTTCTTCTTCAGTCGTACTCTCGGCTACTACTCGTCTCTGAGTGGGTAAGGCAGGGAGGGATTCACATGACAATAACAACAAGTATGAAACAAGTTTCAGTTTTGAGTGAAACATATAAAGCTGAAGGAAGCGCCATCCCGTCAGTGTGAACACAGAGCTAAGAACGTCAAACCAAGAGGGAATTGAACCTCACTTTTTAACCCTAACTTGGTTGATTGATGTCAGGTGTCGAAACTGAAAGTACAAACATTAAAGCAACAGTGAAGGTGAATGAGAAGTCATAGAAAAGAGAGAATGAAGAAACAGGAACTCCATTTCTGTCTTGAGTATCCTTCGTGCATTCTGTGACAAAGTTAGTCAGTGCTGATGAGACTGCTACTGATTGACTCTGTTAAGACAAACCAATCAAAGCACAGACTTTTCACAACAACAGAGTACATAATAAAACTTGAATGAGAAAAAAAATAGACATCTGAAATGTAATTAAATACAAAAAGACAGGTCGGAACAGAATCTGAAGTGAGAAGTGATTCAAGCTGCAGAGCTGACTCTTCTTTGATTACTTCTTTGAAGGGTCTATTTTTAGACCAGACACACTTCTTACCACGGTCTGTCTCTCTCTCTCCTGCTAAGTAGGTAAAACTTGAAATTTGAATGTATTTAATCACAGACATAGCTCACAAAATGCTTTACATGCAAACAATAAAATCAGAGCAACATCGCATGAAAGACGTGCATTAAAAAGCGTACAAAACCAACGACCTTCAATTAAATAAATTAATAAATGAACAGATCATTCACAACATGTACACCAACATGTATGTTTTGAACTTGTGTATGAAGGAGCCAGCAGGCTGTGAGGATGAGGCTAAACTCCCTCAACTCTAACTGTGTTTTTAAACCTATAACTTTACGAAATGTCTTAAAACTTTGGCTTATTATTATACTAAATTAATATTTTAAATTCACAAACCATGCTGACTGTGATGTAGTCGAGGACTCCAGGCGCTCTCTGGGTTTCCTGCTGTGCTTGACTGTTGTCTTGTTTGTCATAATGTTTTTTCAAAGACAATTTTCCACTTTTTGGACAAATAAAGTTCTATTCTATTCTATTCCAATCAATCAATCAACTCAATCAACACGGGTCTCATGGCGTCTGCAAGGCCCAGAGAGCCGGTTCAGTGTGTTTGACTTAAGTGGATGACGAGTCAGGGAGAAAAAGACGCATTTGGGAGCATGATTATGAAGTGCTGTATTTGTAAAAGTAAGAATTTTATAATTGATCAAACGTGCAACAGGGGACGATTAAAGGAATCCAAGCACGGCTGTAACGTGGTGACGTCTGTGATGTAACGTCTGACGTCTGTGACATCTCAGGTTAAAAACAGGTTAAGTATAAACTTTAAAAAAAAAAACGGGACAGGTTCAACAAATTCCCCAGGTCCATTTGAAATTAAGCCCATCTTTTTTGGACCAGTGAAGATGTCTAAAAAAAAGATTGAGTCCTTACCTATGAGGCCGGTGTATGCCAGTAGACATGCCCCGTAGTTCTCCTGCTTGCAGCCGCTGGCGCTGTCCTCCGACGGCTGGCAATCATACTGGAACTGCGCCCAGCGAGACCTGTGGGAGCAATAACATGCCATCCATCACTTTACTTGGCCCCGCTTGCACACATGGTGACACTGAGGGGTGGCCGGCAGAGAAGATGTGCAAAACCCAGAGCGCTCATCTGCCTACCTGCACTCCTACATCACCCCCCCCCCCCCGGTCACCCTAAGTGACATTCATCCCTCTCTTTCTTTCCTCACTTTCCCAAGAAAGTTGGCTTATGGACGGCTGCCAGTGCTGTACAGAGTCAATGAGGGGCACAGAGAGGCCTTGGCTCCGCTCTTTAAATACCGTGGGTTTCAGTCTGGCAGGCGAGCCAGCCAGGAGATTAGACAAATATGGATCTTCCTTATAAATGCATCCTCCCACTGCTGCTCCTGCTTTCGCCTCCTTCACCTTTCCTGCCAGCTAACCCATCATCATCATCATCATCATCATCAGCGGGCAAGGCTATCGCGTCCATCATATCGCATCATCATCGGCCCCCCTGTTGACTGGCATTTGTAATACGGGATCCCCTTGGGGGTGGGGTGGGGTGGAGGGGGGGCAGCAGCGCGACTCCCCCCCCTGCTCTCCCCCCTCGTTTGTCATGTCATTATAATGATGTACGGAAAAAAAAACCTCCCAGGATGCCGCGGAGAGGAGGCTTCCTCTGCAGGCAAGCCGGTTAATGCCAGCTGACTGAGGCTGGGATTGGCAGGTCAGCGCAGGAGGGGGGCCTTGAGATACTCCATCCATCGGGGGGCGGGCGGGCAACGGAAAATAATGCCTGATCGATATCCGTGACAGATGAAGCTCTTTGTCATTCTGACGTTTGAAGAGGAACTTGATTAAACGTGAGCGACCGTTTGCTGTCAAGAGGGAGAGGCGGCGGCTGACAGGATCGGTATGAGAACTCGGTGTTTTCAATTCTCTGCGGTGATGGACAGAGACGCAAGCCTCTGAATTCTAATGACTTCATCAGACGTTGTTAGTTTTGTTGATTGGACATTTACAATCCATCAAAGTCTGGATGAAATTTTTATATTATCATGAGAGATTTGACGCAGAATGAATGTAGGAAACTCAAAACAACTCCTCTTGTTACACGGGGTCAGCGTTCTGCAAACTACTCACTGATGGCGACGACGCCTCGGTATGCATGTTAATAAACATTTACACATGCACTTTGGGAGCGGGGGGGGGGTCGTGGTGTGAATCCCCAGTGATAACGCACCCGCTCTAAAAAAATGTCCATTTCACAGGGGCGGCTTGTTGCCCTCGCTCACTCCCTTCAGAAAACAAATGCAGATTTTAATTGAACTAATTAAACACGGTTAATGAGTATAACAATTGAATTAATTAAACACCGCTGACTAATTGAATTTAAATGAACACATCATCCCAGCCGGGCCTATCTGCTCATGAAACACGATGCCATTTATCGTCCTGGGGGGAATGGTCTGCGTTGCCAGGCCAGCACATTAATAAAGCAATTAATACACAACACAAACAGCGCTACAATCAAATGAAAGAAACTTCTCTGAATGGATTGTGTGTCTTCAAAACTTTTATTCAACTGAAATCCAAGTTAGAGTTTATGCTGTTTGATGCTTTCAGGTTCAGTAAATTCATGTTGCTGTTTTGCTGTAAATCTCACCAAGACTGAAGTCTGTAGCAACAGACTTTTACCAATATATTGTGAGTACAGACTCCAGTAATGTGAGATGAGTTTCACCGTGCTTTCGCAACAGATAAAGCAAGGAAGAACAACATTTCAGCTGTTTTCACACATGCACTCCTGAAAACATCAACTGCTCCTGCTATACGATGCAGACGTTTAATCACTTGCCCGGAGATCGTAGCGGTCCTGTTCTGACTAGTCTATGCACTGGTCATAGGTCATAAAGGTCACTCCCCCCCTCCCACCCACTTGAAGTGAATTCTCCTGATAATATCCTGCTGTGTTCTCACTTCACTCGGACTTGCTGTGGAAAGAAATACTAGGGGTCTGGAAGGAGAAACTGCAGGTAAAGTCTGAGTGAAAAATGCAGCTGTTTGCATTCAGACATGCAGCTCCAACTTCAAATATCAGGAGTTTTCTGCAAGTGTGAAAGAACTACAAGAGCGTCCCTTTAATGCATAACCGCTTTAGACTGTCTCCATACATATATATATACTCCATATATCTGCTGTCTGGAGCCACTGCCACCAACTGAATCAGTGAAGCTTTTATAGTTGTAGAACATCTGTCAAGTGTGAAACAGCGGCAAACAAAAGTTCATTTCAATGAGTCTAACGATGCAAAAACCTCAAGAGCAGACAACCTTCCTGATCCTTACCTGCACACGTAGTCGGCTTTGCAGATCCGCAGCTGAGCCAGACAGTTGGGCTTCTCCTTGTCCTCGTAGGAGCAGGAGGGCACGATGGTCTGCCGGCGGCGCTCTGAGCAGGCCGTGTCGGTGCAGGGGCAGAACAGCAGCTCGTGGGTGTAGTCTGGTGGCACCCGGTCGAAGAACTTCCTCAGCGCCTTGTTACACTTCGGCCGGTTGCACGGCCCCGAGCGGACCGAGGGCTGGATACAGGACGAGACGTACTCCGTGCGCAGCTTCTGACACGTCTCGTCGATGTTGCACGCCTTGGCGGCGTCCAGGCAGCGGTTCACCGTCGTCACCTCTGATTCTAAAAGAAAAAAAAAGAATAGAAAGAAAAGCATTTCATCCACTCTGTGTGTTTGGAGAAAAATCAAATCCCAGGCAATGTTTACCAATGATTTTGGGGCCTAATTGGAGTCGGTATTGACTCGCCTCTACTCACCTCGACTCGCAGACGCAGTGTTGCATTTACAGATAAAAAAGAAGTAAAGTGTGTGTGTGTTAGAGTACAAACTAAACCAAAAGGATGATTACAAGTAATAGGCTCCCTTGCAATGAATAGAACATGAATGGTGTTTAAATGTTGCATGAGTTTAGGCACTGGATGTGTTTCACCAGAGGCCCTAATGGCTGAATATTTCATTCTGCCGGGTTAATGCAGAGTGGCAGCGCTGAGAAAGCGGCTCCTCCATCTCTCCAAACCGTACAACAGGGCCTGTAATTACTGCTCCTTCCTCTTCATCCATCCATCCATCTTTCAAACACCACCTTCCCTACATCTGGGGTCCATCCCTCACTCACCTGACTCCTTCCTGCCCTCGCCATCTTCCTCCCTGACACTCTCAGGGCTGCTGCCATTGACCCCGCCCCCTCCCACTCCATCTGTCTCCTCCTTCCCCCTCCGTTCAGCATCCCCTCTTCCCTGAACTTTGTCCGTCTCTGCCTCCCCTCAGTGTCCATGCTCCCTCTGACTTCAGCGGTAATGAGCCACCTCTGCTGCTGCCCCCCCTTTTTCAAAACCATCTTTTGTTTTGGCCACATTTTTATTTCTCTATTCATCATCGTGTGTGTGTGTGTGTGTGTGTGTGTGTGTGTGTGTGTGTGTGTGTGTGTTTTTTTGCCCCCAAGTGACCCCCCAAGTCAATACAGGCGTGATGACGCTCAGCTCCTCGGGCAGATAGCGCTGCTCATTAGTTTGTAAACTGCCTGTATGCGAGTCTCCTGGTGAGTCCGGCTCTCACCGAGCTGTCACATGCAATATGAATGGCCGTAGAGAGCAAGCTAACAACTCATCACTAGGCGTAGGTTATTCCCAACTTAGCTGCTAAGAAACCGAGGGGGCGGTGGGGGGGGGGGGGGGGCTGAAGGAACAGCAGGGGTGGGATGATAAATTGCATCCAGTGGCCACATGCGAGGGAAATATGCACATACGTTTCTAAAGTTGTCATTGTGTTGCTTTCAGACATTATTTATTCAGAGGGGAGACTTGCTGAGCATGCAGCGCTCTTATCCAGGAACATCCCACTTCACATTCACGCCTCACATACATTTTCACCTCACGCTGCCCAGTACATCTGAGCAGTGAGGCCACTGGAGGCCCATTACACACTCCTTCTCCTGCTTGTTTTTCCTAGTCGAAGGCTTGGTTCTGTAATATTTATCACCATGTATCTAAATTTTAGATCGACAGAGCGAGCCTGGTAGTATTTTGGACAAGCGACACACACTCTGTTGTTTTGGCTCCGTTAACATCACAACAGTGAATTAGAGATTTCAGTGTCTGAACGTTTACCCTCACAGTCACACATTCCAGTTTCCTCACAGCTCAGCCAGTGTTGCATTCGAGATAGGGGAGGCCATTTATTGTAGGAATAGATAGAAACGATAGCTAACGGGTTCTGAGTTATTTTTCAATCTACACTTTGTGTCATGATTTGGTTTCTTATTTTCAGAGTTTAGGTTTTCTTGTTGTTTTTAGTTCTCATTCTTCCCTGATGGTGTTGTTTCCCTTGTGTGTTTTCTAGGTTAGTGTTTCATGTGTTATTTTGTAACTTCATATTCTAGTGGTTCTTTATGTTCTAGTGTGTTTTGTTTCATTCTTGAGTCCTGTGTGTCTTTAGTGTTTCATGATTTAGTTTGTAGTTGTCTGTGTTTTTGTATTACTGCCTCTGTGTGTTTCCCAGTGTGATTGCCCTGGTTGTCTTCACCTGTGTCTGATTACCCCTGTGTCTATTTAGTCTCTGTGTTTCGGCCCTTTTGTGTCAGTTCATTGTATGTTGTAAGTTGCCAGTGTTGTTTGTTGTTTGTTGTTTGTTGTTTGTTGTTTGTTGTTTGTTGGAGTGTCAGTGTTTCTCAGTGCTTGTCAACTTTTGGATTTTCTCAGTTTGGACATTTTGATAGAAAGTTTCAGTTTTTGCCTTTTTGTTTAAATAAATAGTTTTATTAGTTTATTCTGCACTTGGGTCCACCTCCTTGTTTTCCCACACCTGTGACACTTTTAACCGACCATCATTGTGCATGAGTAGAACCTTCCACAATCTAAAGCTAGCACGCTAGCTGCACAAGAATGACAGAGGAAAGCTAGCTGAATAACGAGGGGGTCAGCCCTATGTTCCCACATTCCTAAGATTTTTCTGGAAAGTGACTCAAGCATTCCAGGAGCACCTCTCTCTATGCCAACCCGGCTTTCCAGAGGTATTGATGCACTGCCAACTACGGTTTGCGCCCAGTTGCTGCACTTCATTCGACTGATCTGGAAAGAAGCTAGTTAATGCGAGGCCTCTGCGCTACTTAGTTTAGTTTGTTTATTTAAAAGGAAAATGTGCACTTACATTATATGTTTGCAAAAAAACAAAGAGATGGACGCACCAGATTTAGCTAAAAGCTACATTCCATCTGTAGTCCATTGCTACTGGATAATAGGTTGGGGGTAATTGGGTACCAAATTGGGAGAACGTGGGATAAAATCTGATACAAATTTATGAAAAAGGAAATGTGGGAACATAGGGCCTAATTTTGGAAACAAATCTTAGAAATGTGGGAACATTGGGCAGTGGGAACATGGCACGCTCCCAATACAATAAGCAATGCATATCCCTCTTTTGGACTTTTTCTTACTTTCATAGTCCATCTCACAGTAGCTTAAATCTCCAAAGATGCTCTAAAGACCCAAAGCAAAGAAAACTGTTGGTATTTGCTTCAGTCAAATGCATGAAGTAGAAAACAGGAACAACTATTTTTACCACTTCTAGAGCTGATAATGCAGTAAAAGTGACTTTCTCGGTGCAGGAATGGAGAGGCACTTTCTTAATACCACTGATTTCACTTTCATTAACTGATTAATTAGTTAAAGTTGACTTACTCTGTTTAAATACTCTTAAGAGTAAGACGAGCTGTGGCTCCAGCTCAGGTTTTTGTAAAGGGGTCATTACCCTGTTTGAGGGAGAGATGATAGAAGGCGCTGAAAAACATCCATTAATCACGTCCTTTCTTTGTTTTGGCAGTCCGCTTTTTTGAGATGCATGGCATGGATGTCAACTTTGACCTCCAGCGGAGTTGCTGGAGGGAAATTTACGAGGAGGCTGTACAGTGCAGGTCTGGTGCCGCCGTAATTCAAAGCAGCCTAAATCGAGCACTGGCATTTTAACAAGTGGTTTATGTATGAGGTCACAAAAACATATGATCAAGCTGCTGAAGAGGACATCCATTAAATCTGAATACTTGAGTTTTTTCTATTGATTTGGATGCATTAAACATATACGCATATCATTACACCTACACCTGTAATGCATGACCCCAATCTATGCAGTTTGGATTTATTTCTGCAACTTCTGTCATTGTTCTATAGCATCACATTGGTTATGTCAATATGATAATGAGGACAAGGGAACAATGCTGGAAAAGAAGTCTGAAGGGATAAATCCTCCAATCCCTATGACCACATGGGTCCTTTGTTCCTATCCCAGTCTAAGCTTAAATAATGAACCAGGGGACCTTGGTTTCAGAATTCAATCTCCCGCGTTCTTCCTTTGTCTTTTATTTGCAATTAAGACCGGCTCTAAAGGCTAACAGAGTCCCATTACAAAGTCCCATAAACCACACCCACTTCATAAAATTCAACACAACACAAGAAGCACAAAAAAGGTTTAGTGTCCAAACTTCATCGGTTTAAGTTGACCTGTGCGTACAGACGCCTGACACCTGACCTCGACCCAGCTTCTGTTGACTCCCAGAAACCCTGATCTCCAGCAAATACTTGATAACTTTCTCCAGATTCTACTTGACACTTGAAAAAAGCTTTACTCAGTGAGGTTGCTGACCCTGTGTGTGGTCTGTCTTTTTTCAGATATGTTCTGGGAAAGCTCTCCAGTGGTCAGACTCTGGGGACTGGTTGCCTTCAATCGATTTGAGATATCTAAGATGAATGTACCTCATTTGCCCATCAGGCTGGAGATATAAACTTGATTTTAGCTAGCGTGAGTGTGCTCATGACGACTGCCCGGACTCTCCTGCATCTGTTTGGGATCATGCACTAGGCTGTGCAAGTCCACAAAAATTTAAGCAATTTAGATGCAAGATACAGTGTGAGCATGAACATGAACAGTGTGGAGGAAACAAGTTTGGTGTTTAGGGTTCAACAATTGACCCTGCAAACTTCTGACTTTAGTGAGTACAAAACCATTACAATCAATACAAATGATTGTTAAACCTTAGATATCAGAGTACATGTTGGAATCATTTGTTCTCTCTGTTTCATTGTTCAGAGTTTGGCCTGTCCCCTCGTCTCTTAAATAAAACCTCTCAGGATGATTATGATTGTACATCCTGAACATAACCTGACTTCACCTCTAAAGCTATCGTGCAAACTGTCTCCCGAACTCCTCTCATACAAGTCTTCACCATTACCTCTCTTGTCCCTTTGGTATAAAAACAATGTCACTTTCTCGTGCTCTACACTTCAAATCGTACAATTATCTATTTGACAATAGTGTCTCTTTGCCATTTAGACTTGCCAACGTACAAAACTACCTCCTGCAACTTTGATATCACAGGGACACCTGATCCCTTGACAAATGAAATAAACATCACAGTTTATCTCGTTTTATAAAGTCAGTCACAGTGAGCTCCGACTCGTTTCCTCCTGAGCAGCTGCAGCTCATAAGACTTACACAACACCTGACGGCTCCCTAAAACAAACTGAGCTAAACAGCTTTAAACGGGTACCTAAAACAGACATTTCACCATGTTGTTTTAACACTAATATGTGTCCCTAGTCCGTCTACAAACCCCCCAATGATGAGAAAAGTCCATCCTCTCCGTCTGTTGCCTGCTCCACTCCAAATGTGTGCTTAAACATGCCGTTTGGAGATTTTCCCTTCATGACATCACAAAGGGCAGTAGCCCCTCCCCCAGGTGGGTGACTCTCCCACAGCTAGGTGTTTGTTCTGCCCTCTGAGTCTGCCTTCTCACCGTAAACAATAGGACATGGAAAGCCCGAGACACGCAAGCCCTTCAACACTGAAGCTTCAGTGTTTATCCAGCTCTGCATGGGTCTGTAAACCTTTCTGTGTTCTAACCTCTCTCCATTTTTCAAAAGCATCTCCAATATTGATCCTAGTTTGAGCACGTTTCTGCTCGTGGAGCTTATTAGAAACATGCAGAGGCTTTTTAGGTCGGGTACAATCACTTCACTGAACCACTTCTCTTGCCCGCTTCCATCGCTGCAACACCTGTTGACCTGATAACTGCTCTCATATCTGACAAACCGAGGGGCGTCCAAAACGGCCGTGTGTGTGTGTACACACACACGGTAAGGGGGGTCGCCTTAAAAGCGCCTACCTTCTCTGGTCCAAACAAATCCAGAGCATTCAGGAGCAGAATCTAAAGTTAGAAGGAGGACATACTGGCTGCTGCATTGTTGTCAGAGAAGCCAGCACTTCAACATAGCATGTTTCCTTGATGTCTGGGATCGGCTCCAGCCCCCCGTGACCCCGCATGGGAAACAACGGTATAGATAATGGATGGATGGATGGATGGATGATTATGTTGTCTAACCGCACATCTGAGTAAAGTCTCTTTGTCTGGGCCCAACTTTCTCAGCTGCTCTGTGTCGCATTTAAATGTCTAAATGAAGCAGTATCGTCCCGTTAAGCTGTCATTATCCACTCTCTAAACTTTTTTCGGTGAGCGTGTTTAGGACATTCATCATTATGCTGTATGAAATGCATGAATACCTTCCATACTAATCACTTCATTTAAGTCATTATTTAAGTTTCACAGTCCCTCCATCTCAGCATCACTTATCCAGAGCATAATTGCAGTCGCAGAAAACAAAACACTTGACTTTCTGTCCTCTCCAGTGAAAGAAATAAAAAAAAGTTACTGCTCATTTGTGTGCAGCCTCTCTCCCTTTCCCAAACCTTCAACGAGAGAAAAAAAAATCTGTGCTGTTTGAGTAAACAAACCAGAGCTGTCTGTCTTCCATTTTCTTTCTGCTCCTTCTCACCCCTTGCAATGCCTCTTTCCTCTGTTTCTTTTATGTTCTTCCAAATCTTTGCCTCTCTCCCTCCTTGGTTTTGTGGCTTCCAGCTGCATTAGAGTAAATAGGTAATTAATCTGTGCCTCCGGGGCTAACAGCAGCACATACCAGCCCTGCGGCTTGCCCACAGGCTCTTAGGCAAGACAGAAGCAAAGTGTGGGTTTGTTACACATCAAACGCTTGCAAACACACCTGCATATAACCACCACCGTCAAAATAACTCACAATGACATCTCCATTTGCTCTTTCTTTGGGACCCGTTTAGTTTGTGTGAAAGGAAAAAAAAAAAGAAATGTGTTTGATTATGTAAATAATTCTCTCCCCTCCCTCGCTCTGTTGGAGAAAGTGAACGCAGAAGCAGAGAAACACGAGTCGCGGTGGCAGCTCGCCCACTCACCCGCAGCGATGGAGGCCAGACGAACGTAGTCAGAGCCCCTCTCTTCTGGTTCGTAGGGATAGCTCTCCACCAGGCTGAGTCCTGCCAAAAAGTAGAGAGAGAGAAGGATTAGTCTCATTGTCATGACGACACAAAATAAACGTTGCTCTTTTTCTTGCAGGGAGAAATCGTCTTTTTCATTGTAAGACACAAACCCTCCGTCTGGCCCTGGACTTGTTCAACTTCTCCATTGTTTGTGATTTATTTTGAGCCGTGCAAAGCAGACTGTAACCAGTCCTCAATTTGCTCTAATACTAAAACTTCACTGGATAAAATGGTTTTCATTGAGCCTTTTGTGTAATACTCTGTATGTGAAACATCTCTTCTGATCAATGCTGCGCTTCAGTACATATTTTTCTCATAGTCCACTGCACAGCTCCTACATTGCACCTTTTGTACATTTTGTGTTTTATTTTTTATTTTAATTTTTTATATTTTATATTTTTAAATTCTATTTTTTATATTGTAATATCTTCTTATTCTGTATTATTTAAGTTGTTGCTAATTCTGCTTTATTTCCTTGTTAATTGTTTAGCACCAATACACCAAGTCAAATTCCTTGTTTGTGTAAATGTACTCGGCAATAAACCCAGATTCTGATTCTGATTCTGATTCTGATATTGGTTTATTTCATCAATCACCTGAGCCTTCTTGTTCATAACTTGTTTCTTTAAAACTCTGAGCATTGCATATATAATCTTGTTTAGCCAATACTCTGCACTTTTTTAAAATACTTTTTCTATATATATTATATAATTAATTCTGCTAAACCGTGTACAAGAAAGACTGCATCAACCAAATTTCCCCCTGACTCTGATTTTGATGTACTGAACAAGTGGAAAACCTCCGGTGTTGAAAAAAGTCATGACAGTCAACAATGACAGGCCTCCACCCTGATGCGCCTGTGAAAACTGTTCTTAGATCCGACTGAAATGGATAAATCTAGTGTAGAAAACCATTTGACACACTCCATCAGTGACACTTGGGCAACAATGAGGGATTTTGGGAGGTCTGAAGCCCCAGGGAAATTTCCCACTTGGTTATCAAGCCTTAACTAGAAACAAAGAGGGGAGAAAGTACAATCACACCACAGCAACAGAAGAAAGTCACATGAGGTTAAAAAAAAACAATTAGCTTCCTTTTTTCAGTTATAAAATCAAACCAAGCAGCAATCTGTGTTTCTCTGTGCATGTTCTCAAAACAGCGTGAGGTTTCCTGAAGGAGTTGTATAGACGCTGTGCACTGAGCCCAAACTACAGCATGCATGATTGATTCAAATGCAGCTTGATTAATATAAGGAAATTACTAATGTAGAGAATGAAGTTGTGGTTTATACCAAACCATTTCATTGTCAAACGTTGCTTTGTTTCATTCAACTCTTAGCATTCAACTCTTAGCAGATGTATCAAGTACTGCTGTACTTGATACAGCAGTGGCTCAAAATCAAACTTAATAGATATTTTGTATTTTCCAATAAATGTAAAAACCAAGAGAGTCCAACCTACATTTAAGAAAAAGAAAATCCAGTACCATGACAGCTGGAACTGTTTGAAGTCTGTGTATTAATTCAAAAATTATTTATTTCTTAACATATGATAATAATTAGAGAATTTCATCCACCCAAATAAGACAAACTGATCAAGGAGGTGAAACACTTGACAGCAAGTTAAATGTAGCCTGTGACAAGCTCACAATCAAATGAATATGATATGACAAATTGAGGGGAAAGAACGGATAATGACACATACATTTTGAAGTGTATCAGCTTTCAGGGGCCCCCTACTGGCCTGGGGCCCCGAGCAGTTGCTTAGTTTGCCGGTTGACAAACATCGCCTATGAAGGCATCGAAGGTTTAAGACAAAGCTGTGTTTTAAGAGCATGAAACTGGTCATAATGACATGTTTGGATATACTGTAGATGAAATGACACCACAGACTGTAAATAAGAAGTAGTCCTCGGAGAGTCAGTAGTATGAAGACATCTGAATGATTACACCAGAGGGGTAAATGACTCTACTTCTTACTGGATTTTAACCAATCTATCCAAAAATGTATCAAGTCACTGATGGGAAAACCCCTAATTTTACAAAGAAATCGAGTTCAATAACAGTTTACACAAAATTGTTGTTGTCCTGGTGACTAGATCCAAATATTTTAAATAGATGTTGTTTGAAACACTTTTTACTCAAAATGTTCCAACAGTTTAAACCGTTTTCTTGTGTTTCCTCAGTTCTTATGATGGTTCTTGTGATGGTCGGGTTCTATATGTCTGTTGGGTATCGTGCACTTTGGGTTCTTTTCTGTTGAATTGTATTTAATTATTTTTCAGTATTTTGCATTTGTTATGTTCTTGCTGTTGTTTCTGTTCTTCTGTGTTTGGTTTAGTTTACTTTGTTCTTGTTTTTGCTGTTTGTCGAAGCACTTTGTAAACCTGTGTTTTTAAAGGTTCTATATAAATAAAATTATTATAATTATTAAATTATAGACTGTAGACAACATCGATGTAGTCTCTGTGATGTCACCCATTGGTTTCTGAATGGCCGTTGTATGTAACACCTGCTAACTCGACCTCACTTTTGGTCAGTTGAGTATTGGACAAAGAGTTGGAGATGAGGCAAAGTCTTTAGCCTCCTGGCAAACTAGCTACAACACGCCCACCTGTCAGTCAACCAGGCCACGCCCCCAATTCAGCAAGTGATCAGAAAAACCTTTAAACAGATGAGAAACAAGAAATGAAATCCATATATTTGGATACCAATTAAGAACTGAGCTACTAATACCAAACGTGTCCTTTGAACCAGGCTGTAAACATGTTTAATTCTGGTGTAAAAATTGGCTTTTTAACATGGGACCTAATGGAGAATTATTTGCTTTCGCAGGCAGCCTCAAGTGGACACTTGAGGAACAGCAGACTTTTTTCACATCTACTTTTTCTTCATTTTTTAACACCACAGGGTGCTGCTTGGTTAAATCCCTGGTTTCAACCTTCACATGTAAATGTTTATTTGGCTTCAAATCACCAAATCAGTCTTCTCAGGCTGGAGGAACATAAAAGTTCTGTGGTTGACAAGTCTTGGTTAAAAAAATCCCTTAAAGTAGTGTCTGCTGCGGTGTGTTATCCAGACATTTTTATTTAGGTGTTAAAACAGTTGAGTCTAGCTGCTTTGTGTTCATGAAGGTTCAATGCACGCTCACTCCAAAGTGGAAACGATTACAGCTGAAGCATGAAATCAGACATTTGAGCTTCAGTGTTTGTTTTTATCAGTTCATTATCGCTTTGTCATCTCTTTTACATCTGCACTTGACTTACACGGAACATTTTCCATTTTCTCAAGCTTGTTCTCTCTTTTTTTTTTTAGGTGTTTTTGGAGTTCAACAGAACATGAGAAATGCTGAAATTGGAATCTGAATGTTCCACAAAAACAGAGCTCAGTGTCGAGGATGTAAAGCATGTGAAAAAAGCAACAAAGGTGATCAAATACAGTGAGTGTGGGCAGAACAGAAGGAGCTAAAGCCCCGCTCTTTTCTCTTAAGCTTGGAGTTTACTGGTAATCTGGCGAAGGTGGAAGGATAATTCATGTGTAACGGGCGGCACACTCTTGATAATCCCAGTGTCGTACTGTACCCGCTCCCACCACCTCCTCCTTCTGAGAACCTTTAGATAGCGTCTTACCGTGCAGCACCGACTGATGCAGGCTCCAGTAGATACTCAGGCAGTTCTTTTCCTTTTTCATGCCTCGTTTACACTGGCAGCCGTGCAGAGGGGTGGACAGTAGCGCCGTCATGGCGTTCTCGCACTGGTTTCGCGCCCCAGGCCCCAGCTTCACGCTGCCGTCTCCTGCCACACACTGCCTGAGGGTGCGCAGTCGCGGGCTGCAGGTGTCGTCGCTGGAGCAGGTGTCTCCGGCTCGCAGGCAGTCTCTCCCTCCCGCAGAGAGAGCCACATGTGGAACTCCTGCGAGAAAAGACAAGACAGAGGGCAGGTCAGTGTCATGGCGTGGTTGACCCATGACAAGCTCATAGCGAGCCGCCAGTCGATGCTTTTTTTCTTTCTAGACTTGTTCAGAGAAACTTTCATATCATATAATTGAAAGGGGGAATGAATACTTCCAAAGAACCAGGATTTCTCAAAAGAAAATATTATGGGAACTAAATAAACATTGCATAAAAAGTAAGGAAATTTGTGTTTGGTAGATTATTTCTTTGTTGTAACAATGCTTCTTGGCAATAAATCTTATACCGTTGGAAAGCCTGTTTATTTCCATTTTAATTGGTGCCACATTTGTAAGGAACATGCATTTGTGGGATGAGCAGCAGAGCCGAGTAAGTGGGATGCGCAGCTGAAAAACTCTTCTCTGCCAATGCCAAACAGCTTATTCTGCTGTTGACTCTTTTTTTGAGATTTCTCATTGATGGTGTCGACAACACGTGCACTTGAACCCTGAACATGTGGAGGAACGTTATACAAATGTCCTTACTTTTTTGTGCGATGTTTATATTTGGTTAAAATTCCTAAAAATATTTCAAGCAATTTGGGGAACAAAAAGCCCGCCTGACAGAAGACCAATGGATAGTGAAGGTTGAGCAAAGAAAACAGACTTTATGTCTTGAGATAATAAAAAGCAAAACTGGAAAGTAGAATTTGAAAAAAGAGCTTTGTATGGTTAGGACAAAATGATTAATGAAGAAAAACTCCATGTAGGATTCAAATGCAGTTTCTTTCCCAAAATCACAGACGTTAGTTTTACAGAATTGTATTGCATTCACTTAAGAAAATATGAACCTGCCGTTTTCCTCAGGCAACGAGAAATGTAATAATTATGAGAAAAACTTATATGGAAAAAACTTCAACTCTGCTCCTAAAGGTGCTTTACTGTTATCCTTAATATCATCAAAACTGAGGGGTTATCAGGGCGCTGGTGGTACAGTGGTTAGTGCGCGTACCCCATGTATGGAGGCTATAGTCCTCCAAGCGGCCGGCCCAGGTTCAAATCCAACCTTTCCTTTTTCTCTCTCCCTGATTTCCAACTCTATCCACTGTCCTATCTCTCCATTAAAGGCACAAAATGCCCAAAATTAAATCTTTAAAAAAACAACAACTGAGGAGTTATTGAAAAATAAAACCCTCGTATTGAAAGAAAAGAGCCAAGTGGACGCTTGAGGAGCTGCAGTTTTTGTTTTTGCACTTCTGCATGATTTCGATTTATTAACATTGTCGCTTGGTTACACCTTGTTTCACATCTCAGAAACTCAACGAGGTCCTCTGTGTCAGACTTGCCTAAGTCCCTTTCAGAGCTGCAGAATACAGGATTGTTTCCAGAGCAGCTCGTGTTGAATGTTAACCAAACTGAATATCTAAAAAATGTGGGACTGCTCCTTTACCCACGTCAAAACAAACCAGTGAGCTGATGTGAGATTTCATGACCCACCGAATCATCGCTGAAATAATGTAAATTGAACTGAATTTAATAATTGGATTACGTTCATACATCCCCCGTCAGAAGCGATCAAACTCGGCCAACGATGCATCACGCCTCTTGTATTCCAGCGTTTTAAAATGATATTCATGAAGCCGAGGGGGGGGGTGTTATTTTATTCATGAATTCATACAGTTGTCACATAGAATACATCCGACCACACTGACTGGATTTTGATGAAACTTGGGGGGGGGGATGATGCATCTCTTCAATACATCCTGACATGTTCAGAATTACACTGATGTTTGAGCGCCAGTCAAAACAAAGTGTCATACTTGTTACGGATCGGGCCCAGAGAGGGGCTGCATCATTTGGTGGGGGTGGGGTAGGGTACTTGTTCACCGCCTTCTTGTTTCATGTGGCATTCATAACATGCAGCCTGTTTTCCCCTGAGGACTGTAAATGCTTGTTTATTCCCAGCTGACTGAGAGCTCAGAGACTCACTTTTTTTAAAACGATGTGGTGCTTATTAGTCCGTTCACTTCTCAGGGTAAGGTCAACACACATACCAGGGGTGACCCTCGAATCTTCGTTTGAAAGAGCCTCAGTCGAGTGCCGATCTCACAGTCGATCACGGCTTATGACACAACAGGATCTTTCCATTTCAGCCATAAGTGTGTGCATGAAGAAATCACCCCGAGCAGCGTATCCACTGGCCAGGACAGAACAGTGGCATGCACCTCCTTTCAACTCAGGCTCTCATTGGCTATTATAGGCTGGGAACATTGATGATTCGTTTATGATGAACAGCAGCATAATCAACCAGGCCACACTGAAAATACATAAATCTGACCGTTCTTTATTTTAGGCTTTCAATCTAGCAGCAGTGTAAGTGGATGGATTATCCACCGGATATATGTAAACATCTCAAAGAGTGAAGTTCTGGCAAATACTTTTTGCTGTTTCTAGCATTTGTAATAAATGTGTGTGTGCTGCTTAAAGTCTTTCTATGTGATTTTTCACTCTCAAATGTAGAAATCAAGTCTATCCTCTGAAAATAACTCTGTGAGTCATGACTGTCTACAATGGGTGTAACACCCGAGTCCCACTGTCTGTGATGTTTTCAGAGTTTTCAGAGTCCTATCTTCACTTTGTTTACATCGCCGGGACGGCCGGCTGACTCCTCCCCTCGTGTATAAAAGTTGTTTAATTGAGGGACTAGAGAAAAGAAGAATAACATACTGTACTCACTGCTTAACTGTGTTTCTAGATCACGCTCATTTCAGGTAAATTTACATGCAGTGTGAAGATATGAGCATAATAAAGATCGCTAGCATTAGCATGCTAACACAACAATGCAGATCAAGTTGTTTTGGTTTCATGCTGGTGCTCAAGGGCGACATCTGCTGGATCAAAAAATCGCATATAAAGCCTTTAAGTTTCGTTTCTGTACTTGCAGCGCATTTGATGCTTATGCAGTTGTTTTGCCTATTTGCAGCGTGTTTGTGTCTTTGCAGCGCGTTTCATTCTTTGCATATGTTGTGGTAGTTTGCGTTTGCTTTTATAAAGCCTTTAAGGGTTGCAGGAGCCCCCATACTTGCATTTATTTTATAATCCCAGTTTTTCTGCAGTTGTGAGGATGTAAACGTGGATCGAGATTTAGAATTAACAAGCCCGTGCTGCAGCCTTACAGTGTGTGAATGGTGGTCTCCAATTTCCTTTAAAAAAAAATGTTTGCCACTTCCAGTGACATGACAGCTATGAATAGCTGTTGAGACAATCCACTCAAAACAACACACTTTTTAGCCCCTGATGGCGGTACAGGAAAGGTAAGGGGTTCTTAAAAATCCTCAAGATTCTTTATCTAAATATTTGTCAAATATTACGGAACATCCATCCTGAAGCTTTTGGAGATATCTCCATCTGTCCATAACGGGCCCACCATCAGAGCCCTCCCCGGAGCCATGCTGCTAACTTGGCAAACACCTCACACACATCATATTCTCCCAGACAGTTCAAACACACTGTGCAGCCAAACACAGAACTTTATGTGCTACTGTTGGGTGGAAAGCCCAACTTTTAAAATATAAAAACCTTCAGGCTGACTGTTGGTGAAAAATGTAAAAAAAAGCATGAATGTGACATCTCCGTTTTAGGGAATGATGCAGTCTTCGGTTTGAATATTCCTCCCAGAGCTAAACATTACATGTGTTTGATAAAGAGCTGCAACAGGCAGAGACTGAATTCATATGAAACACTTTCAGAGAGTGCAGATTAAATTTTTTTTAGGAATCTACTTGAGGGAAAAACGAGGGGACTGAATGTCGAGAACTTAATTACATATCTATTTTATTACTGCTGCTATTGAATGGGCACCACCCTACAGTACCATATAAATGAGACTGATTAGGTTAAACAAGGGAGAAGAATTGGTTATCCAGTGCTTGACAGATTCCCAGACAGCATGTCTGCAGTGAAACATTGACTACTTTGTGAGACTCCTCGTGCTTTGATTCGGCTCATTAATTAAATCTTAATCAAATTGGACTCCTAATCGCAGCTCGACCAAGTCATCAGGGGCAAAAGCAATAACCAGTTAAAGGCAGAAACATTCTCATGTTCCACCTGCAGATTCACAAAACTGTGTGTAAACATGGACATGAGTAACCTGGTTTTGATATTTTTTTTAAAGGAGCAGTATGTAACTCTGACCCCTAGTGTTTAAAATGGGTACTGCAGTCCAAATTCTAAACATTGTAGAAAGCTGTCTCCCCCCCCCCTCCTCCTCTCTAGAGTTGATGCTCAAACAGGTCACCATGTGGTGGACTCTGAAGCTTCAGTGTTTATCCAGCTCTGCATGGGTCTGTAAACCTTTCTGTGTTCTAACCTCTCTCCATTTTTCAAAAGCATCTCCAATATTGATCCTAGTTTGAGCACGTTTCTGCTCGTGGAGCTTATTAGAAACATGCAGAGGCTTTTTAGGTCGGGTACAATCACTTCTATCTGAACCACTTCTCTTACCTGCTTTCATCGCTGCAACACCTGTTGACCTGATAACTGCTCTCATATCTGGTAAACTGAGGGGCATCCAAAACGGCCGTGTGGTGGGGGGTTGCCTTGAACCCGCCTACCTTCTCTGGTCCAAACAAATCCAGAGTTTGCTTACTGATAGTATGTTAGGAAGCTGTTGTACTTGAATTAAGATCTTAATGTGCTTTGCTTAGTCTGGCCCTTATAAGACAGAAGTAAGGATAAGGCTACTATCTGGGATATTTAAGTCCAGGGCAACATACTCAATGAGTTCTACATCCTTAAACAGAGTAACTTTCTACAATTCTACAATTCACTTAGCAGACGCTTTTATCCAAAGCGACGTACATCAGAGAGTAAGAACAACACAAGCAAGGATCTAGAAAAAAGGGAACAATGTCAGTAAGAGCAAACGATCAGCTTTGAGTCTGATTGGACACACAGGTGCTGACAGGAAGTGACCAGAGGCAAAGCACAACATTGAGGGCAGTTCTTGAGAGCTCTAATC